TGTGTGTGTGTGTGTGTGTGTGTGTGTGAGTTACCCTTAGCTTTACAAAACGTTTTGTACCCCGTTTGTTATATTGTGTGACTGCTTTAAACTGTGTAATATAATTGATTAAAATCAACATCTTGAAACAGAAACGACCTTCTTTTTGGTAATTGTTTGAGTGCATGTAAAATTGCACAAAATGGTTTTAGTGCAGAATCCTGTTTTGCGTGTTACAGTTAGTCACACACAAAATAAAAAAGATGTTAACTAAATCTGAAAGTGTAACGACCGACATAACAAGTAACCAAAATAAGTAGGATGATAAAAAAGAATTCTTGTTTTAGTTTTTTCAGGTCCCGTCTAGGCCTGGATAGACTTTCGTGAGTATAAAGGTGCCCTTAAAATTGTACTCTGAAATTGTAAAACACAGCCATCTTTTGGTTATAATAGCAAGGTATACACACACAAAAATAGGTTATAACCAAATCTTTCAGTGCAACGACCGACATAACAAGTTACTACAAAAGTAATCAGGGTCATAAAAAAGGCTTATTCCAGTTTTTCCGGTCACAGCTTGGCCTGGATTGAGTTAAGCCAGTACAAAGATGCTGGTACGAAGAAACTGCACACAAAGGATTTAAAACATTGTTCTCTTCTGGTTGTTACACCAAGGCCTACACAAAAATGGGTAACTACAATCAAGACAGAGAGTGTAACGACCGACATTACAAGTTAGTAGAGTAGTTACGATAACAAAAATATGACTTATTTAAGTTTATTAGGTTGGAGCGACCGACAAAACAAGATACTAAAGTAATTAGGATGAATAAAAAAGAAGGTTATTTCCAACATCTCAGGTGAAATCTAGGCCTGGACAGAATTTAGTCACTTCAAATGTGTTTTTCAAATTCCACACACTGGTTTTAATTATCTAAATTGTGAGGTTGGGGGGCGTAAAATAACACCCACATCTAAAACAAAAATAGACCAACTAGCGAAAACTGCGCCATTTGCATGTATGCGCCACTGGTAATTTCATACATGTTCATAACATGCATATATGTCATAGTACATTAAAAATCTGATGTGCTGCGCCAACTTACGTATTTGCCGACTGATAAGCTATAATACGTAAATGTGTGGGCCAACGGCCTCTAAAATTTACAAAATCGTCCTGAATTCTAAAATCGCAGCTGCGGTACGAGGGAATGTTTTCCTAGTTTCTTAGTGCACGCTATGCCTTACACAGCTACATACTAAAGAGATTCGGGGAGGGGGTGGCGGGGGTAGTTCCTAATTGAAAACCTGAGTACAAAACTTAGCTGAAGTCCAAAATAGCAAAAACTTGAGTTCTTACTGTGCATAAATAGGGAAGACTCTCCGCATATATTGATAGCGCATGAGACACTTTACCGTTAACGTAAAACTTAGTAAAAGTAGAAAAGGTGAAAAACAGCAGGGTATCCCGAAGCAAATATAGACCTAAGCCCTTGTATTGTACCATCTGCAATGAGACTAACCCAAGGGGGTGAAAAGATTTAGAATTAAAAATGTAGATCTCCACGTCCTGGTAACACATTTTAGATCCTATTTTCGGAGTTAGGCAATCACTAGAGACGAAGAAAATAACATAAAAGCAACAGAAATGTAGTTTCTACGGAGACAACAGAGGACTTCATGGAATGAAAAGAAATCAAAATGAGGTTGTACCCAAAGAAGCCCACGAGGGTTGCATCTGATAACACGATCCGAAAGTGTAATTTATGCAGTTTTTGGGACAGTTGAATAGGCTAAAACAGCACCTGGACATGAATGGCTGGTGCCTCTATAAATAAATCATTGATGGTCTGGTCTGGGACAGTTGAATGCACATCAGGCTCTCACTGGCAAAATTGAAGGCAATTCCCTTGGAGAGTCTAAACAGATGTGTGACGCGGAAAGATCATAATGCATTGTAGTTGTATTTGTTGTAGTTGTTGTTTTGTGTGTGTGGGGGGGGGGGGGGGGTTGCATAAGAGCAAACGAATGACGTACGTACCAGATCTGACACTTTACTACCTAAAATTATAACGTTCTTTCTGACATTTTTGGCCGTTTGGAGTTATTATGACCATGAGGTCAGAAAGCAAATGTTCTATCTATCTGCTCTATCAAAATCGTAAGAATATTCGGAGTCGTTATCAAGATAATCAAAGAATTGCTTTCGAAAAAGACTGACCAGGTCATGAAACTCAAAATTTTTAACTTCATATTTCTCGAAATACTCGGCCAACTTCGACCTTGCCTGCCAGGAACAAATTGGAAGCAGAACTACACAAGTATGAACAGACAGATAAACTATGAACGCACTTTATTTTTTTTTTTACTATTTTTTTACAAATTTTTTAACATGTTATTTAGCTTTAAAGTGCATCAGATTTAGCTATTTAAAGGGAAATTTTATAGCTAAATCTGGTGCACTTTAAAGTTAAAAAACATGTTAACTTAGATGCCTAAGAAAAACTGTAAACAAGACCAGGCGAGACAAAATTAGAAACTCTGTAATCCTAGAAATGGTGAGCACATCACATCCAACGCCAAAGAATCAAATGATTCGGACATCTCCTACGATTACCAACACACCATCCAGCACAACGTGCCTACATCAAAATATTTGATGGCAATAAGGCTAGAGGGGAACCGAGAAAGACCTGGATAGATGGAGTCAGGGAAACATTAACCACCCACGGCATCCCCCAGACCCAAGCTCTCCGGCTGGCGACAGAGAGACGTCTCTTTCTTCCCGCGACACCCAAAAGGGTATAAGCGGCGGATAAAGGTAAAGTAAAATAGGAGATTATTTCGGTAAAGCCTCTGACGCCAGGCGACCCCCACTTCCTTCAGTCTTAAATATATTTTTTTTTACTATAAAAAAAAAGAAAATAACTCATATACCCAACAATTGAAGCGAGCCTGATTCCACCGCGTCTTATTATTTTTTTTAAAATATCCAATAAACCTCTAACAGACTGTAGTCAGCTTTTTCAGCTATGTCTGTCTGTGAATGTACGAATCTTGCGCCTGCCAAATAACCGAATTACGCACGCATTATTAAAATAACGTTGTGCAACGGGTCATGTTACCCTAAACCAGTTCTTGCCAATCTTGGCCTCATCACGTATTTTTGGCTTTGGTGATTTCGTCATTTTGGTGGACGGTGGAGATCACCTGGATAGTGGCAGGTACTGTTTT